GGGTCATGATGATGAACCTACTGCTTTAAAAAAAAATGCCTGGAATGTGAAATTTAAATATGAATCCCTTCTGCAGCATAAAGGAGTATACAGGGTAAAACTTGTGGCAGAGGTGAGCCAGACATTGGAGGAGGAAGAAGTGGTGCCTCATATTGTTCAGCTCATATCACCCCCGTTTCTGGGTCGGACCGTCCTCACAGCCGGACCTGCGAAGTTTGGAATGGACCTCTCCAAACAGGAGCATGGGGTAGGCTTCCAGTGTGACAGTAATATAATATGCAGCTCCTGCATTTCACTTAAACTCCACCCATTTAAGTTGCACAATAACTCACAACAACTTATCCTGCCACAGGTGAAGGGCAGCATAGTGAAAGCCTCCCCCTACACTGCCTGTGGGCCAATAGAGAACGCAGAGGAACTTGAAGGCCACATTGCTCTGGCGCTGCGCGGCGACTGCATGTTTGCTGCAAAGGCTCGTTGGCTACAAGAGGCCGGGGCCATAGGAGTCATCTTTATAGGTGAGGACCTGAAATGAGATAACCTTCAGTACCGCTCAACTCTTTGTATGCAGAGTTTAGTATAACTTCTAGACACTGTCAAAAGTGACTCTAGCAATTTCTTTTTTGTTTTAGACCACCGTGAAGGAAGTAATAGCGAGGAGACTCCCCTCTTCCAGATGGTTGGAGATGGAGACTCCACTGAAGACATTACCCTGGCTTTGGTCTTCCTGTTTAGCCGTGAGGGTGCAGTCCTCACTGCTGCCCTGGAGGAACATCACAATGTGGACGTGCTGCTGCTGCCCAAGGAGAGGCAGCTGGGACACGGTGAGAGGCAGGAGGAGGCAGATTTAATGATAGTCTATATTTGTTTTATTTAAACAAATGCAACCAAAGCGTCTTTCAATACTTTTCAACCTTCCCTGCCTGCAACAGCACCCAGGTCCTTTGTACTGAAGACCTACATCTTAAAACACAGTTAATATATATATCTATATACCATAATTGTTGAGAATCCATTATTTTGCGTAAATCCAACAAATGTATATATACGGTTTTGCAATTTTCTGTCTTTTCTCCTCCTTGTCCAGATAAGACAGACAAACCTTTTGGTATGAACATCAAACTCCGCCTCGCAGAGGAGGGGGTGCTGGAGGATGGGGCAGCCCGAGGGCCCACACTGGAGTTTATCTTGGATAAAGAAGAGGTGCTTCTTCAAGAGCAAGATGAGCTCAGAGGTGCTTCGCAGCAGCAGCAGCAGCCGCAGCAGTTCTGCTCGCAGGCAACAGAGAATGACAGGACTGAACCATGTTCAGCAGATTCATCTCGGCCCACAAACTCCGGACCAGACACAAATCCCTGACCATGAAGCAGCCAAGTTTCTGAACACTGATCCTTGTCAGGTTCAGATTGGCATGTGCCTCGGAGCCCCTCACTGCCCCACATGGAGCCCTAACTGACCCAGCCTGCATGTTTACAGCCAAGCAGTGTGATGGCCACACTCATATCCTGCCTTGACTTTGAAACATACATGATTCTGTATTTATTAGACGGTCGGTCAGTTGTAGCTTTTATTCTGTGTGGAGCAGGAAGTGAGGGGTTTTATGATCTCATGAGACTAAACTAAAGTAGTTTAAAGGCCAAAAACTGTAGGACGAGTGGGCTGGTGCTTCCTAAACCTCGCCTGTAGTGTTGCTACTGTAGGCACATAGAAGGTGCACATGGTGATTATGACATAGATCATTAAACAAAAAATAAAAATGACCTCACCTTGGAGGAGAAGAACATAGATAAGGCAACAAAAAACATGTTTTTATGCAATGCAGTTTGTTTTTGATCTCGATTGCACCTTTCACATGAACAAGTACTGTTAAATTTTCCGTGATGATGAATTATTTGGCCAGTAGGTGGTGTTAGCGACTTTTAGCTCACAGTACTATAATGTCTGTAGATGAAGGAGAAGGACTGGGGCCTATTTGGAAAGTTTATTTTACTTTTTAACAGTAAACAACTTCAGGGAAATGTGTGTGTGTGTTTTGCTATAATGTCTGTGCAAGATGTGCAACCACTGTAATACCTGCGAAAACATCTAACCTAAAACATCATTGCAATCATTGGAAACCCTCTGAAATCTTTACAAAGTTATCATCCGCTGAATTCATCATCAATCTTTTTTAAGTCGTAATTAATCATCTCATTTTAAAAACATCATCAAAATGACCAAAGCTGATTTTCTTGAAAAATATGAAGTGTTGAATTTACTCTGCTTCACTCAAGATGCAGTACCACAGGTTGGTCTGCAGTATCTGACTGCTTTGCACTTTGAAACACGGGTATGATCATCTGTGTGAGATCCAAACAGAAATGACCATTCAGCCTGTCTTTGCTGTGTGTGCGTGTGTGTGTGTGTGTGTGAGGACCATTTTGAGCATAGACCTTGAGTGAGGACAGTTTTCTAAAGTGAGGACATTTTGGCCGGTCCTCACTTTTTCAAAGGCTTGCTTGAGGGTTAAGACTTGGTTTTAAGGGTTAGACATTTAGTTTGCGATGGTCATTATGCCAATGAGTGTCCTCACTAATATAGAAGTAGAAGAATGCGTGTGTTGCCGTAGTGATGTCTGTGAGGAATGCTGGAGTACAGCAAGTTTTGCATCATGCAAAATGCAAACTGTAAAGACCAATTGTTGTCATCTAATTGTTTCAAAACCATGACTAATACAACTGTACTCTCTCCAATCTCTTGGAAGGATTTTCTAACTAGTGTTTTCCAGATTTAAATTATAGATTACTTTTTTTTTTAATTAGAAATATATTAGTCTTTCGCTCATTCACACTAATGTAATTGTTTCTCGGGGCATTATTAAGTATAATGATTTTACGCGACAGTTGAGAAAGATGCATAATGCTTTAATTAGTTTGTTCATATTCACTCACTTTTTTCTCACTAATAATTTGTCGCATGTGTTTTGGGGGGTTTTGTGGTACATGAAATGTGAGCTGTAGTTTTTGTGGGAAAAGCAGTGAATGTTTTCTGTCATGTTTTGTACAGTGGACTTTTTCCCGATGCTGCTGAGTTTATTTCTAGTCTTAATCCAACATGACATTTTATTTTTGTGTTGAGCCTGTGTGGGGCACTGCCCAACCCGTATACCTCAGGACTGTGTATCTAAGTGATCACAGGAAAAAGGACCATGGATAAGAAGTTGGGGGGGGGGTTCTTTTTTCTTATATTTCAAGCTATTTAATTTTAATTCTGTTTTCTAAGGTTTCTGTTGATCAGTGGCTGAGGGTGAATAAGTGCCAAAAGAGATGCATGACAAGGCTGCGGTTTCCATTTCCATATAGTCTATCTGTTCAGTTTCTGACTGTGAGCTGAGGCGCTGCCGTCAATAAACTCAAAAATCCCAGTTTCACACCTGTTTCCCTCTTTATTTCTGTATTTTAGGATTTAGTCTGCTTTGTTTGAGACAAGAAATCTGCATGTCTGAGGACTTATTCTTCAATAAGTTGCTGTTTCCATGTGTTCCTACCTTGTGTTTTTTATTAAGTAGCCATAGTGATCGTGGAATTTTGTCTCTTCCTGTGATAATGAATTCTGGCATATTAGTTTATACAGTTAAAGGTTGTGTAATACAGTATAAGACTCTCCTCATCCTGGTCACATGGTGTTCACCTCTGTTACAGGAGCATCCAACAAATAGACTCAAGTTCAGTTCCTTTCCCTGGAACAGGGAAGTATCCAGTTTCTAAACTCTACCAGTTCATAGATTCACAACATCTTCAAGTGCAATCTATATTCTGTGCGATAACAAAGAGGGAACCGCTCTTCTGTTTTATTGTATTTATTTGGTTGTCTCATATCAGATTTTAAGCTTGTTTTTTATTTTTATCAATTTGCACAGATTCTGTAGTAGCATCTCTAATTTCATTGCACTGCTTTCACTTGTACCATGACAATACATTCTATTCTATTCCAATTCTGTCCTTGCTCTTTGTTTGGATATCAGTGTCTTTCAGCTCCGACCAAACAAACAGGCCGGGTCTGTCAGCTGACTGACTGTGAAAGAAGAACAGAGTTAATGGATGGATTATACGTATTGTTTCTTTATCTGAGGTATATTCATTCCTTTAAAATGTCTCCTGGGGCATCACCTCACTGCACCTGCTTCATTCTGCTGAACTGGCTAACCCTCACTTCATCTGCTCATTAACCATCGTCTTCATTATCATGAGCTCGTCCGCTTCATGTTACACTGATGAATACAAATGAATGAATGATGAGTTGATAAACCATTAAATCAATTTTTATGAATGCACGTCACCGGTCTTTCTACGTCATGACGTCGTCACGTAATGTCTGCGTTGTCCTGTCGCTCATTAAAGTGCTGCATTCAGGTGCTATAAGGAAAAAGGAACTTTACATTACGAGACAATAATTTAAAAGTGGAAACTTCTATTGGGGTTTTAGTTGTCAGGGTAGAAGTGGATATTAGTTTATATACATTGAACAACTGAAGTTTTAAATGAAATGCATGATTGAATTTCTTTTAGATAAATATTGTTTGAGCACAGTCTGATCACAAGCTGTCAAATGGTTTGTGGTCATTGTTGTTTGTTTTTGTGTCCAAGGATGTCCAACAGGTGAAGACAGGGGCCTGTGCCCCTCACCGCCAATGAATAATCCATGTGAGAGTTTTGTCTACAGCATCATGAACATCAAATCACACTGAAGAGCGTTACAGAGCGATCGCCAGTATCTGTCTGTCTGAGGTAAATCATTTTTTATACTCAATTTATATTAATATTTATTATTTTGTATTTCATAATTCTAGAATGTAATATTTGTTTGATTATATCTATTATTTAATTTCACAATTCTACTATTTGAACTTTTTAAGGAAATAAAGTGATACCTCTGAAATAAAACATACCTCTGTGACAGGCCTATGAAGATTTATTCTATTCTATTTACTTTCCTCTGCTTTCGGAGTAGACCGTGAAGGCAGCAAGTCAAACACGCTCACACTCACTCTCTCACTCACTCACACGCACACACGCACACACTCACACTCCTCCTCTATCTTTAGCGCAGCGGTGGATTACCCTGTGCGCACTGTGGACAGACGGAGCTCCGGTGCGACCTGTTCGGCTTAACCGTGTCGCGCGTCTCGCTGAAGCCTCCGTCACGTAGAACAAGTCGACGCGTCGAAACCACACAGAGCAGAGAGCTGCGATGGGGGAATGACAACAACCTCCGTCTGCGGTTCTCCGTGCCCGAGAAGAAGAGTCCGAGGATGCTGCTGCTCTCCAGCCCGAGGAGCGGACGCCTGCGCCGGGCCTCGCTGCTGCTGCTCGCTGCGGTGCTGCTGTGCGTGGTGTCCGTCAGCTGTGGCCTTCCAGGTAAAATACACAACTCTTCACACTGACACACAACCAGCACAGCACAAAACAATGTCCGTAGATTTAGAGTTCACGTCCATTACACTGGAGTAGTTTGCTGTTGTGAAAGTGAACCTCTCGGAGAGGCAGTCGTGTTTCTGTGTTTCTTTTCATTTGTGTTGTTGTATACATACTTTACTAACATTCTGTGGGAAAAGGAAAAGATAATGGTGCTTCCTTGGTGCGTTTCCTTGTACTTTTACTCTTTTTACTCTTCTACATTTACTTGAAGTTTAATTTTATTGTATAGACACATTTTTTAACTCTTATACGCTTGAACTCTTTTTACTCTTATACTTTTATTTCCTTTTTTCATATATTTAACTTTAGTAAACAGCTTTTCACTTAGTGCTGTAGTAGTAGACCATAATATGCAGATCTGTCTGCAATATATCACATATATTTCATATTACGTACATATTTTCTTTTTAAGGTTCTTATACTTTATTTTAACATTGTTACTTTTACTAATACTCTTTTACTCTTATACTTTTTACTAGATTTTATTCTGTAGCATTTCACTTATTGCTCTTGTACTTTAGGTTCCTTCTCATTGAACTGCAGTATTCTCTTCTTAATCGGATTTATGGTCTGATTCTGAAATAGCTATATGTTTATTGTTGTGATTTATGGCTGCACTTTATTCTTTATTTGCTTAAGCTTGTCTTGTTTTGACAAATAATAATTCAACCCTATGCCTGTGAAACATGAGAATCTTATAGTATATTTGAAGAACAGTACTAATCTCAGTTTGTGTGTTTTTAAACTGTATTTATATTAACTGTAAGTGACATTTATGAACACATTCAACTATTTATCATTCCAGCAACTAGTTCCTCTGGAAGCTGGACATGTTTATGGGCATTAAGATAAACAGCATCTCGGCTTTAAAACAGTGTGGGAGAACCAACAGCTGGACTGTCACATGTGATCTTTAGCCTTTATCTGACACACACACACACACACACACACACACGACACACTTACAGCTTCGGCCTGCGCACAGATTAATGTGAACTTATAAATGTTAATAGATTTTTTCATTTCAATTCCTCATGTTGTGTCTGAAAGATGGAAACAGACAAAGCGTGAATACGCTGCTGTGTCTCTCGCTGAAAAGAATAATATTAGGCCTCATCTGCAGTGATAGGGTTCTGCTTGTGTGAAGGGGGTTGTGATTTCCACATGACACCTGTTACATTTGAATGCATCTAGTGAAAATATGTCAGTATGTTTATGATGTGTTGTAAACACAAAACGAGGGGAAATAACAATATTCTTTTACTCGAATTTGAAATTGCTTCTTTGTAGCTGCAGAGCAATGTTCCTTAAGTCGTATCTGCATTTCCTTTTTTTTTTTTATTAAACATCATTAAATATATTGGAGGCGCTTGGAAAGCCTCAAAAAGCACGTCCAGTGTTGCAGCGAGTCAGCGCTCTCTGGGCAAATCATGCCAGAGTGTGGCAACAGCATGAAGAGCATAGCAGGTCAGGTGTTTGATTCAGCAAATATCGACACATCATCGTGTGTAAACATAGGGAGCGTTTTCACAGAACACTGGGTTCGTGGGATGGAGGGAATCCAAAATCTCCATAAAGCCAAATTAATTACAAAACCTGTGTCTGGTCTGCAGGCTGATAAACAGAATTAATTGCCTTCATTTGCAGAATTAGTTTCTTGATTCAGGTTCAGTGGTGCATTTTGAATTAGTAGCAGCAGAATAGTCACTTTCTTCACGAATAAAAACAATTCAGACAATGTTCAGACAATTTGTCCAGACTTAATCTTTTGCATGTTAGGAGGCAGGACATAATGTACAAATTATTTTGCGGAAATTATAGTTTACAGCTCATCGACACCATCATCTAACCGTATACAAGCTATCGAATCTTGTTTCTCTTCAAGTTGACATCTTCGTCGGCATCGTCTTCTCTTGACACTATGCACGGGGTGCTTGAAGGAAAAAAACTCCACAGAATGTCCAAGCGACATTTCACACACAGCCCCTCTGGTAAATTTCAGGAGAATGTCCTAAGTGCATGTCTGGAAGCAGCTTCATCTTTGTGTCTATCTTCACCTTTGAATATTCAAATTCAGTCTGATTGTATTTCAACTTTGTAGTTCAGCAAACCCACATAGAAGCGGTGTGATGATTTTTTAGGGAGCTGCTGCCTCCAACCTTTTCCTCCACCAGGATTAAACTGTAAAGATCCATATCTCACACAAACACAGCTAATGGCTATAGTGTTTTCCGGCAACCTTTTTTTTTTTTGCCCTGCAGCTAAATTAGTCACCTGTATTGTAGTTAGGGATTTAGAGCACACACAAACACTGAGTGGATGACCAACACTTATGACTGGAGAATAAGTGCAGTGTACGTTTGTAATGAAGAGGCTGGTTATGGGTCATTTTTAACCTCCTGAGAGGCGTCAGGTTGAAGTGGGTTTGAACTGTGCTCTGTCCCAGTGGAGGAAGAGTTGGTGAGCTGCAGGGTCACGGACAGACTTCAGGAAACAGAACATCGTGCCTTGGCTGGAATGAGGAACAAGGCAGTGGTTTAACAAAAGATTTACAAATTCTCCAAAGCTGTAAAGAGAGGCTGACAATGAGCTTACTTTAGTGCTACATGGCTGTGGACAGTGATTTAATGTCTTCTACACATCCACATTTATTCATATCTTTTTTCAGATGGTATCTTTGACTTACTATATATTGCATTTGAACTCAGTGTTTCCAGGAAGTCATTTAGAAAAAGCACTTGAGGTGTGGTATTGCTCCTGTGGTGTTTGAAGACCAGAAAGGGAAAATTACCACCCAATCACATGGTGTTACTCATTCATCATGTTGAAATTACGCAGCAGGAAATATGTGTTGGTGTCATTGTGGTCCCTCGGTGGTCTCAGAGGGAAAGGTGGTCAGCCAAGGTTTCTGATCTCTCTCTCTCGCTTGGTCGAACATTTGGCTTCTTCGTCCGAGAGTGAACAGTTGGCAACCGGAGCTCTGCAGGAAATGAGAGGGCCACGATTAATCAACTCACAGATTGCTCACAGACATTTGAGTTTCAGCTGCAATGAAATACTCTGCTGCCTCAACCTCATCTGCCCTTTACCAGTCAGAACACAGCTAATTTACTGTGTCAACTGTTTTGCATGCAAATGTTTGTATTCATGCGAAGCCACATCCTCACCAAGAATGTCCGTGAGGTTTAAACAGAAGCATGAAAGACACTTCTTTATTTAATGCTTATATAGAGAAATATGCAGGAATCTAAATTTCAGACATGAAGTGAGAAAACGACACTTTCTCCGGACTTTGTCGTTCACGTAAACGTAGCAGGAGATTGTGCGGCTCAGACACGTTCGACACAGGGGAGAGATGTGGCATCAAGCACGCAGGAAGCATCATAGAAACCTGCTGCGATAATGCCATATTTTTGTGCGTCAGCCATTATGACCAAGAGATCTTGAAACGTCATCAACACGCCCGCTCGCTTTCTGTAAATCCTCGGCCATATTCTCACATGGGCTCACTTGGCAGTTTTTAATGACTCAGACATTTGCGTTCTCACAGACAGCATCTCTGGGTATTTTCAGGAGAACATCCAAGTTCAGTACATGTCTGAAAGCAGCTATAGTGAAATATTTGAAGTAGTCCAGTCCATTTCACAAAGTAGTTTATTGTGATCATTCCAGTGAAAGAAATACTCAATAAAGTGTCACAGGACCGCCACAAACAAAATGAAAATAAGGTTAACTCAATCATCTTTGTATAGGAGCTTTCACTGATGTCCTGTTTGCTGCAGGGTGTGCTGCTCTGCTCCACTCTCATCATAATGACACAGTAATTATCCCTGTGTGTAATGCATTAGGCCGGCCATTTTCTGACATGACAGAAGTTACTGCAACAGAAAAGACGACTGACAGAAGCTGTAAGCGATAAGGACAAAGAGACATGACAGCACCATGAGAAGACGAGAAAACAAAGACTTGATCCTGCTTGTTCTTTTACAAACTTACATTCCACTGAGATGGAACTTTCACTCACTTCCTTTTCACCTTTTTGCACAATGCAACTATTAATATATTTCCTGCCTCAGCTTTACTGTGTCTGTCTCTGTGCGTGTGCCTAAACAGGTGCAAAGTCATGCCCTATTTTCAACCCACGATGGCAGAAAAATGTACGCGTAGGAGTCATTGCATCAGATCATAGTGGGAAATGTGTCAAGATGAAACTATCTCTCTACTTTAGACGAATTTGTCTGTTTCATTTTCTGAGAAATTAAATTATATGGGTTACATCTTTTTCGTTCAAAACTCCGTAGCGAGGAGATCTTGATATAAAAATCTGTTTCCAATTATAAAAAAATCCAGGCGCTTCCTCCTTGTTTTTCGGAATCAACCACTTCATCGCCTCATATTTCCAAGAAAGGTTTTCTGAATTAACAAGATAAATATCGAGATTGCTATCTTGTTACTTCAGAAAAACATTCAACCCGTTTTTTTTTTCCTTCCATTGAACGCATCACACCTCCCTAACGTCATCGTACTGATGCAACAAAAATTTAATAATTTATAAAAACAGCTTTGTGTATTGGAAAGAAATCTTGGTGGAAAAATCAATTCCATAAAGTGCAGGTTCAGAGAGCGGAAAGGAAAACTGACACTGAATAAACAATGAAGTCTCTGACAATGAGAAATTCATATTGTCTCATGGCTTCGACAGAATAGTCTGTCAGCTGATGAAAACAAAGCATTCACAACTAGCTGCTTGGTATTTGTTTGATTTTGTCATTTGAGAGTGATGCATGGTGAACAATCAGGAGCATGGATACACACAAAGTCCCACAAATGTTCACACATACACACATACCACACTGAAATGAACACTGTGGTTACGTATCAAGTGAAGAGCACCCAGCGGAGCGGGTTTCCACTTGATTTGAAGTGCTTGGCTTACTTCCTGTCTGCCATCGAAGGGTCAGGAAACGCACACAATGGGAGTGCATGACCCATTTCCTGTTTTACTCTCACAATCTCTCCCTCACACAATTACAGAGCGGGGGGGGGGGGACATTTGTTCCATTGCATCTAAAGTACATTTTGTAGGAGTCAAAGTGAACGGTGACACGATGCTGTGCACAAGTGTGAGAGTGTAGGTGTGCACCAGCCTGGAGACAGCAGCAGCAGATGGTTAGTAAAGACATTTTTCAAGGACTACTTTCTCAACCCCCCCATTACACAATGTTTTTTAATCACACTTCACTGACACCAAATCAACCTGATATACTGCTGTGACATGTTTGTTTTGTTTTTTAGCTTCTCCTCTGTCCATCTCCCTCTAATTAGCACCATGTGGGAGGCTCGTCGGTGCAAGGCCGCCTCCTATGGCAACTTCACATTCACTTCAGTGACTCGTTTTGTTGTGGGGCTGCTTTTGTCGTCTGATTATCACGATGAGTGTATTTCATCGACTCACCTGTGTTTAGTCTTTTTCACATTTAATACCGATTCACCAAAACCATGTTATTGCGGTGACAATGGTTTTCATGACAACAACAGGTGAGTGGGGCTGAATGCAGTTTTTATTCGTCTGCAGCTCTTCCCTGATTTTCACACTTTATTTTTTCACACCACCTTTTTTTGTTCTCGCCATTGCCCTGCCTCACATGTTCATTATAAAGTACACACACGACAGGTTTTGTTCCTGTGCGTTTGTGTTTATGTATGAGCTGGATGTGCGTGAGGAGAATAATTGCATCTATTCCTGAGACTGCAATAAGTTCCACCACATTAACTTCCCACGTGATGAATGACAGATGCAGCAGTGACCAGAGGTGTTGAGACTCAAGTTGCATTTTCATATTCAACAATGCGGATATTTTAGAAAGTACGCCGTCCTGCTGTTTCTTTTTTCTTATCAGGGCTTAAATGCCTCCTGTTTTGTTCTAGTCACCAGTGATTCATTTCATTTGGCAGAACTAACAAATGTAAAATTCTACATCTCTTTTGTGCACAGTGAAATTTATAATTACAGTAAATTATTACGCACATGCAAAGAGACTCTCATGCGATGTAATTTTTCACTATAGTTATCTCATTACGATCTCGGCAGATGAGTGTAGAAGATGCAAACAGACATGTAGTTGTTGGCCTCTATGTTTGCTGATATGCACCATTATGAAAGCTTAATTTAAAGAATGAACCAAAGAGAAAAGATGTGACATTTATACCTATATTTTATATTAACATTTTTTTTAAACTGTAAAATATCGAGTCTCAATTAAGCCATTTTTAACACAGTCTGTATTCATAGGGGCCGATATGTCGGTATTGGAAAGTTTTACTCTCTCATTTCGATATTGGCATCGCCCCCCAAAATAAAGGATATTTAACTTTGGTCCAGACAGTTCTGACCAACTGACATTTAAACACATGTAAACACACAGGCCTGATCTGGCATGAGCCTTCTAATCCTCATGATGCGATAAGGTCAGATAGTTGTAGTTAAGACATCGTAGGGTTGTTTGATCGGATCTGACGCGATCGGCAGCAGACCTGCACCTGAACAGCCTGTGATCCTCGGACAGATAGCGCAAGAGTCATAAAAAATTTATGATGGACTGATTTGAAAACAGGAATCACGACTGAGGGGAGGAGAATCAAAGGAGAGAGGGAGCTTGTTAAGTTGAAAGGTTTTTATAAAGGGCAGAACGAAGGGTGCTATGTCTTGAGCCTTGGCTTGTTGTAATTAAAGGAGGCCTTGATTGTGTCGCTCACTCCAATGTTGCAAAATTTAACATAACATAAAAATGAAATTACTGCATTAGCAAACACTGCATTAGATATCAGACTGAACCAGCAACCATGGCTGTGTGACAGTAACAGGGCTCAAGGGACATGAGCTGATTCTGACATGTTTTGAATGTAAGAGGATCTATGTTATTTTTTAATTTTTGCATTGTCACGTGGCATCAACATGCACACACATACTCAGACAAATGGATGGATGGATTATACAGAGACTGATGGATGGATAAGTGGATGATATCTTGAGGGAAATGGAAAGAAAGACACGTGGCAGGTAAAAATAGAAGCCACGACAGCTGAAGAAGGACACTGATAATAAAATACAGGAGCGAGAATCAGGAATAAGTGGCACCTGCCTCGGCACATGTTACACTCTCAGGGATGTGGAATAACTTGGCAACGCGGTCGAGCTAGTGACGCAGCAGTTAAACTTTATAGAGGCGACTGTGGGAGCAGAGACAGATAATGTCAATAAAGAAGAAGCAGCAGTGATGAAAGACACAGAGGGAGTTGTCCACCTGTGTGTTAGTTGTTGTGGCACAAAGTAAAAGGAATTCGCTTTTTCTACCCACGGTGACTAAACCGTTGGCTCTCAGACGTTTCACAAAATCGAGAAATGCTCATGATTTGCCATCACCAGCCTGAGAAAGAAAAACAAAGCTTCTCAGATTACCTCCAGCGTCACTACACCGCTCGCTCCCCCGGGCATCGGACCAGTCGGTGGATGTGTGGATGACGTGGGTGCTGATCTCCATGTGCTGCAAACATGAAGTGTGGATTTAGTTGTTTTCATGGTTGTGTTGTTGGGATTTGTGTGTCCTAGTATTTATGTTGTTGTCTGTGCTGTTTGCACACTTGTAGTCTGGTGTGTTTTTAGTATTCCTGGTATAGGGAAGGGTCAGCAGGTAAAAATTAAATCATCATCACTCATCCAGATGTAGTTCAGAGTCAGTGCATCGTTAACTAACTGAGGGCAGCATACTGGTGCTCAGCAAGAAGGTTGCTGGTTTGAATCCTGCCTTTCCGTGTGGAGGTTTAAAGATCTCCCCATGTTCACATGACAAAGTTGGGGATACATTACTTGGAGACTCTACATTTTTATATGTTGGTGTGTTTGTATGATGACAACCTGCTCAAGGTGTACCCCGCCTCTCACCCATGTCAGATGGGATTGGCTCCAGCTGACATCCGTCTATTATCCACACTGACCCTCACAGGATAAGTGGTATAGAAAATGGATGGATGGATTAACTCAATGAAAATGTAGCTATTATACAAATACATATATGACCTTAAACCACAGTAGCCTCAGTTCATACAATTTACATTAAATACCTATATGAGAAACAAAAACTTGTGTAAGTTACAAATTATTAAATTACACAACAGCTCAATTCCATACTGTTCATTGAACAACACATATTCATTTTCAAAAGCACAAAGTTATGAGATATAATTCTGTGTGTGTGTGTGTGTGTGTGTGTATGTGTGTGTGTGTGTGTGTGTTTGGACTCCACTTTTGTGTTAAACTGGCAGTAATCAGATGAAGAGCTTATCTAACCTGGTTGCAGGCAGATCCTTCTGAGAGCAGCTGTGGCTCACTCTTTACTTTGGTTTAACCTGACCTATATTGACACAGAGGTGGAGCTCGCCACGTTGCGAAATGCAGAGAATAATTCAAAATGTACTTTTCTTGCCGTCCGAACATTGTTGTCCTATCTGACAAAACCTTGCCCAGATGGAGGGCTTGATAACGTCCCAGCAAATGTTTATGCAAAGAAGCTGTGATGTAACTCAGACGTTTTATTCCTGAATGGAGCTGACACATCCACAGATGAAAGGAGTGTCTGTTATGAAGGTGAATCATCTGTAATTCTGAGGCATTTTCATAGAACGTCATCCCACACAAAGGCTGTTATTCAATTGTCTCGTGAAAAGCGTAGTTTCTCTTTGGCAGCAGTGTGGCGGGGATACTAATGAAACTGTTGTTGTCTCTCTCACCCAGCTGGCCATACATGCCCTCACTATCTAGACTGTGCCAAAGAGGGACGCCACTTCTGCAAGCCGGGGTCCTCCCACTGTGGCCCCTGCCTCTCCCCGCTGCAGGAGAACGAGGAGGGACGCTGTGTAGAGAGGAGGAGGCACCATCAGCATGGTAAGAGGAGGAAGATAACTGCACACAGAAACACACTCCAATGACGCTGCATTCGCTCCACAGACAAACTCACGCTGGTTAGTTTGACCACATAGACACTGATGAAGAATTGAGGTTGAGAGAAGGCAACTTTTCCCAGATCTCCTGTCTCTCACCCAAATAACTAGATAGGTTGAGAAGAATGGAAGGATGCAGGAGTGTTCCAAGGGACTTTGAGGGCCTCAGGCAAAAGGGGCCTGAAGGGGCCGACCTCGATCCAAACCAAATGACCAAACCACATTCTACTTGTATCAAAATGATAAACTAAGGTCATGATATACATTAATGATATTTAAGTGGTAAAGTTTCCCAGACACATCATACACACACATTTAGACGTTCTACTCTTCAACCAAACCTGTAACATTATGAAGATTTTGCCAGAATTAGAATGGATTGACTGATTTCTTTATCTTTCTTAAATCTCTCGTATGAGTTCAGAGAGCTGTCGTGATTTAGTTTGCTCTGGATTGCTTACGACATCCTCTTGTATTTTTATAATATACAATACAATACCTCAGGCTTTGACAGAGTGAGAAAGATAGAGTCCTGGATTATTTCATTTATTCATCTCCTCAGGTGTTTTCAGTAACGCACCTTAACACAAGCATTACTTCTCTACCGACACAACAAAGAAAGAAAAATAAGATGTCACTTTGTGCTAAAAGAAATTCTCATTGGCATTTTTCACTGTTTTCTGATGTGCAGCCCTTTTTTAAAATGAAAATATTAATTACAAAAACACACAATGTTACACTTCATGACTGAGAGCTGGAACATCTGCTTCTCTCTGGTTGTAACTAAGTGCATGAACAAATGTCTTTCTCTCTTCGTATTTTCTTCACCCCTCTTTCACAGTCACTTTTCTCTATATACCTTTTCCGTTCCACCCTCTCTCTCATTTGCTTATTGATTCTGTGCTCTCCTCTTCTATCAATTTGCGCTTCATGTCTTTATTTCCGATTCCTGTCAGTCTGTCATAAATGTCATTCTTTTTTCTGTCCATTGCTCTTCTATCTACATCCTGTGTCCTCTCCATCCATATCTCTGAGAACCATGGTGCAGACTGATCCTCTGTGGGTTTTTTTAATCCGCCCCTGCCCCTGCTGTGTCTGCAACACACACACATGCACCACCCCCACACACTGCCAGCTTTAATCACTTAGCTGACATGCATCTCTCTCACTCACTCTCTCTTTCTCTGGCCCTTCATCTCCATCACTGCATCCAATGCCATCCATTGCAAGAGCCAAATAAATCTTATCATTCGGATTTCCACGGCATGGCACGCACACAGTGCGCCGGCAATTAAAGAGGGAAATGAAACATCTTCTGTTGGTGTCTTAGTGCCGCTGGCTTTCCTGTGTGTTGATGTCTATTTGCAGGCACATGTGTGTGTGTGTGTGTGTGTGTGTGTGATCTCTGCAGGATAAATAATTTAGATGGGTCTGGAGAGGATACAGTATGGACCTGGCTCAAGTTGTTGGGGGCAGCACCAGAGATGGAAGTAAACATGAGAGGGAGATGAGTGTGGCAACGTACGAGAAAGGATGAGGAGAGGGTGTTTTTTTTAATTTGGTCTGTGGATGAAGACGCTGACTATAACATATCTTGCTGTTGTGTAGCCTACTTGTGTGTGTGTGTGTCTGTGTGTTGTTGTGAATCCAGCAGATCTCAGGCCTCAGATAAGCTCCCTAAAGTGGTTACATAAACCCCCGAGGGACCACAGAACACAGGGATGCACATGGGAGACACACAAATACACGCAGAGTGTAACACACTGAATAACCTGTATTTGGAGTGTTTGGTTTGTCAGTGGCAGGGTGCATCTATGAGTGCATTAAAACACAATAAACAGCTGTAGTCCAGCTGCTGCCTCGGTGTTTACAGAGTCGGCCCTCTCTACCTCCACAGTGGAACTACAGGTTTGCTCTACTGACCAATGATCAGTCAGGCAGGGCTAGTGTGCAGCTCTCTCTTCCCGACAGTGTTGTAATGTATTTTAATTTCCTGGACGTTTTAGGAATTCAAGGATATTTGCGCTGACTGAAAATCTGTCTTCTAGTGTTTCATATTTCCACTCCTTTGAGGATGAGAGTGCACGGCAGAGGAATGAGCGAGGCAGGCGGCTCTTTTTATTGCAAGTAGGACCTGCTTGTGTTTGTCATGGAGGCGTGCACTGCCATTGGTAAACATACAGTATGCCTCAGAGCCATGTCCTTTGCTCTGAAGACGCATAAACACAGTAAGAAAGATATTTACATGCTGGTAAATTGAACTGTCTCTTCCTGTGGAACCTTTTTGTAAAATAACCTGTTTAGATGACATCAAAGTACATGTGAAGAGGCGTTACTGTTATGGGTTAACATCAAAAACAACCAGACACGTCATTTTTTTCGAGGAACTCGTGATGAGTAGGGTTCCATCAATGATGTCCGACAATGTAAGACAGCACTTTAGGCATAAATTATTGATGTGGGCTAAAAAGGCACTCGTAACAGGCGATTACATGCACCGCAAATGATCTGTGGCAAAGTCCAGAGTGGTGGTTTTTGAAGAATTGAATTTAAAGTTTCAGCAGGAGTTGGTGAAGACTGACATACATTGGAGCTGAGAGTGTTTCTGACAAAATCCCTCTATATTAATATTGTTGACAAGAGCTTTAATCTGTGTCATCTCTATGAGGATGGTAGAAACCATAGAACATGTTTTATTTTTCTCTGGAGTGAGACTGCGTGATATGAGCAAAATCTCATTTCCCGAGAGAGGTCATAAGATATCTTGATATCGATACCTCCGATTCCATTTTTGGAATTCTCAGCCCTACGTTGTGTCACGGGCAGGAGCCTCCTGAGAGTCTGGGGTTTGTTTGAGTCTGTTTTGGGGACCAGTTGAATAAGTATTATTTTCTGTTATGTGTCAGACTTTCCAGACCCAAACAACAATCACGGGACAAAGGGAGCCCCTGTTTAAAGCACGAGCTTCTCATTTTGTTTGAAGTTACCCCGTTCCCTCTCCTCAGTTGTTGCTTCAAATGAAGAAAAATATTACAAAGTACAAAAATAAACGATAATAGCCGACTGGTAAATAAATTACAGCATCGTCAGTACAAGAACAAATATGATTTTAAAGATCCGGTGTTCAGCTTTAGACCTGACTGTACTACACCTGCTCTTACTTGCTCCTCACTCCTCTCTGTTCACTGATGGCTCTAGCATGAGAATGAGAATAGGGACACCTAGTGGTGTCATTGTGCATATTAAATAGAGATTTGGAAATGATTGATATTGAATTAGACTAATATTACATCATAATAACAAACTTAACGTCAGACATTAAGGAAGCACTTCTGCCTAATATGTAGTGAGCAGAAGAACCTGTTGTCTCAGACGTGTGTTAACACAAAAATGATAAAATATGTCCCTATTAACATGTATTTTAATGTTGTGGAAACTTGAAAAGTGGCTTCTCATTTGTTTCTCTCTACCTGTTGCTCGTTCTTACTCTTACATCCAAAGAATATTTTGCACACTACTGAACTTGTTTCTCTTCTTTTGTCTACCTATGTTTTTGTATTTTAATAATATTCTATATAGCTGTCAATGAAGTGACAATAGACCAAGACACTCTGTGACAGCTGTTTTTTTAAGCTACAGGAACATTTGACACAATCGTCCGGCA